CCACCCAAACAGCAATGACATTTTGGTACACAACGGGAACTATGCCAAGCAGTTTATATGGCCCAAAACATACCAACCTCAGGGATTGAAAAGGTCRGAGCAAAAAAGGAAAGCGCAGCAGGTATCAGAAAGCCCAGCCCAAGGGACGGAGGAAAAGGAGCAGATCGAGGAGGAGATGAGACAAGCAGCGATCCTGGAGGCACAAATCAATGTCCTCAAGGATCAAAACAGGGAACTGGAGGAGGATACCATCAATCTGCTAAAAATAGCCTACTCTCCACAGGCCGACATAAATGCAGCAGCCAAGCTCTTCGCAAGGCACAATCCGGGGAGGAGAGTTATCATACCATACCGCTGGAACAGCGGAAACTCGGACTGGGAGGTGGCCATACACAAGACATTGGCTCTAATCGTTACGAAGGACAGTCACTGCTCACAGGAAATGCTCAAGGAACAGATTTCAGGAGACCTCCCGGACAGGGCTCAGGTGGTAGGGAGCCTTTCCCAAGATCAGGAGGAGTGGGAGGACACGGCAGGAGTGATGCAAACAGTTGACTACAGGCCCATTCTACTCAGAATGCAAGAGAAGCCAAAGCTGACGGAGGGATTAATATGGATGCCTTGGCAGGTGGTGGAGGCAATACCATACGGACTATTGGGGGGCACAGAGGCAGCGGAATGGGTGGCTAGGGGAGCAGCGATCCTCACCAAGACAGATGTTTTCTCGGGGACGCCAGAGGGCATGGACACTTGGTTAGCAGACGTGGCGGCTGATTGGGAGTGGCCACAAGAGGGCTCGTGAAGAAAAGCTCGTTAGTGGACCATATTCAAGGTATGATATAAATGGCAGGGGTAATGATGGGGGATAGAACCAAGAGAAGAAGATTATCGTCACGAGAGGAGGGAAGGGAACCGGAAATCAGAATAGTGTCTTGGAACGTTAATGGCATGGCACAAATTTTAGACAATAAGGATAAATGGAATAATTTATTAAGGGCCACGGATTGGTTCGGGAGGAACCCCCCAGATTTTTTATGTCTTCAAGAAACCCACCTCACTGACTCGCCGGTACATCAAAAGACACAGCAACGYATAGAAAAGCAACTCARATGGGTGAAGGCTAGTTTTTGGGYTGTGKCAAATAGACCGCATTCAGCAGGGGTGGTAATTMTRTTGAATAGGAGGTCGGYGGCAGCAAACAAGTTGTCTCTGTTAGATGCCTCGACGGATGAGGAGGAGGGTCGTTGGGTGAAGCTCAACTTCACTTATCAGGAKGAACAATTCTCGTTAGTCACAATCTATTGCCACAACTCCAACCAGAATAGAGCAGAAATGCTTCAATCAATACAAGCCCGCTTGGAGACAACRAGACATGTCATACTGGCAGGTGACTGGAATGCCACTCTTGACCCAGGTTTAGATAGGTTAATGGGGGGAARATCAGGATCAGGGGATGAGCCTCCGGGTGAAGAGGCCTTACCAATTCACGCACTCATGATAGCCCAGGGGCTTATTGACCCCTTCCGCCTCCACTACCCAAACCAGAAACAATACACCTACTACAAAAGGAATCGCAGCCAGCACATGTYARCCTCTAGAATAGATTACTTCCTAGTATCGGAAGAACTGATAGGAGCTATTCACTCGATCGAAATAGGTGATCTACCGCACTGCACATGTCTAGACCACAAACCAGTGACGCTAGAGCTGACCCTAAATAAACATATCCAGAGGGGCAAAAGTTTCTACAAGATAAACAATTCCCTGCTAAAAACTCTTGAGCTAAGAAAAGCCATACTATAGGTATGCTTGGACCACGACAGCGACTCACAGTCGTTCCCTGATTTAATCAATGCACTGACGCAAGCATCGTCAGCAGTGGCCAGGCAGTTAGCAGCCAGAATGAAAGCTAGGGAACAGGAACTTCGGCAAGCCCTACGTATAGCAGAGAGGAACCTAATCAGCAACCCGGGAACGGAATTATACAAAACCACAATAGAGGAGGCAAGAAGGGAGTTAGGGGACTGGGAATGTTGGAGGGCTAGGGGTATGCAGTTGAGAGCAAGAGTAAAAGAATGGGAAGAAGGAGAACGAATGACAAAGTATTTCTTTCAAAAGATTAAAACCAGAGGTAGGAATTCGCAAATACAGCAGTTGGGAGGCCCTCAGGGAGTAGTGTCAGATCCCGAAGGGTTGTTGTCGGTAGCCAGTAGCTTCTACACCTCACTCTATAGATCTAGAGAAGGGGACCAGGATCCAAGAAAGGTAAAGGAAGTTCGGAATA